TGTTGTGTATTCCGTATGAGAGTTTCCAATGTTTTTCACTATTTAATCTATAGATAAAATCAACAGTTTGCTAGTGTGAAATGCACTTTCCGTTTATTAAAGCGTAACAATACTTTTGAGGATTGGAAAAAATTCATTATGATTTTATGAAAAAAGTTTTGGAACAATTTTTCGCTTTTTGCGTTGACATTCAATAAAAAATTCATATCGAAAAAAATTCTCGTAAATTTTATTTAATTTTTTTTATTTTCCAAATGACATAAAATATCGTAATTCTTTAAAATGTTTTCATAATGGAGTTGTGCAAAAAATGTTAGCATGTCTGGGTGCCATTACGAAATTCCTAGAGAACTCATTCGAAACTCATACAGAACTCATTTCGTATAACGTTTACTGCTTCACAAAGGAGGTAGAATTTTAATTAGCTCATAAAAAATATTCGTTCTCAACTTAAATGGCCATCAAATGGAAATGGAAGAAATGAGCTGCTGCTCCAAATTATGAAAATAATAATAAAACAATAAAAAATGCTTAAAAATAAAATTTCTTTTAAATTAAAAGATTTTCATTTCAATTTCATTTCATTTGTAATTATTTCTCTTTTATATTTTCATTAATTTATATATTTTCATTTCGGAAATAAAGTAAACTCCCTGCGATTGTTGAGAATTTTAGAAAACAATTATCACATTTTCATAATCAATAAAATTTTTACATCAGTACCAAAACAAATCTGTTATATTATAACATTATTCTGATCCCTTGAAGTAACCCAGATTATAGAATATACAATTATTATTAATAGTATTTATCAAAAGATACGATTTTTCTTCTTAAATAAACATTTTAAAATAATCAAAACTACAGCAAAGATCAAAAGCCAAAGTTTCTTCCACTAAAACCCTCTCAATGTAATAAAACCACGAATGAAAGATAATAAATGCATATGAGTTTATCGTTCATTAATTACTGTACATGGAATCTTCAAGTATCACCTCAAAAAGATACCTCTTGTTAAAGAAGCTACTTGCACACGCTGTCTAGAAGAAAAGAAGGCAGCGAAAGAGGAGAAGCAGGAGGAAAATTGTCTTGGTACATTATTAGGTTGATGGTGTCTTGACAGCCAACCCCAAGCTAAATGAGCTGCTTGCAATAACAAGAGATGTAGTTATGCAAACGGAAGCCTCTTTAGCTTTAACTCAATAACGATATCGAAGGACGAAAAAGGACCTAAGACATTTCATGGTATACTTCGGCTAATTCCTTACTTCAGTGGGACCACTTGATGGATGGTGCGCTGGCTCAACATCCCACAATATATACATATTAACGTTTCTTTCTTTAGAGTTAAGAAAAATAATTAAACATAATATATGGACGATGCTTAGTTCATGAAAAGTCACAAAATACTTTCCTGAACAAATGCCAATATAATTCTGCTTAAAACAAATCCCAATTTTTTAACATAAATCCAAGTTTTCGAGTGATTCAATAAAATATTCACAATATTTTTGTTAGTGGCGGACTTAGAAATCCGAACACTTAACATATTGTTGTACATTCACATGTACACATTAACTGACGCCCCTGTACACGAAAACCCACTGGAGCTTAACTAATGTACAGTTACATCACAGATTAACGTTGTTCATACATAGACCAAAAGAACTCTTTAGTGGACGATAACGGTCAGCGTACAGACAATGTTGAAAGACTAATTCCTCATCCATACATGCAAAAGTGCACCAATCTAATAAGTTTATGAGCTTGGCCGAGCCCCTAATTTAGTAGAATGAGTGATTTGTCAGGTCGATGATAAGGTGGGCATTGACAAAAAAGTTAAAACATGGATTCCTCCTTCTCTTCAGAGCCACAACCACAACAAATATTATTATAACGTAGACCCAATTTCAAAGCGTGCCTTTCTTGTGCACAATTCCCTGTCAGCACCGGTGCTGTAGTGCTAAACATGTTCCGATTTGGTAAAAGCAGCTGATTTGTACGTTTCACGACTACAACACAAAAAAAAGCTTTGAAGGTACTACCATCTTCTTGATGAGGTCTGACGTATATTCTTAATACCCACATAGATGCTGCAGTCATCAAAGCGGGATTAGTTATTGAGTTAAAAATGTATTTACTAATTGCATTGATATAGGTATGTGAATTTCTAGCAATAGATGCTAAAAATACAATCCGTAGAGAATTCTCTACATTTTGGCTTTGATCCATGCTAATAATATTGTATAATATAAATCTATCAGTGAGAATTACTAACAGAAGTTCTCTCCTAAGATGGAATACAGTGGTTAAGCTTTTAGTTTCACGATTTCCAAGGAGGCAACAGGGGTTTTCGATGTGAACTATACTTAGCTTTGTGTTCACTCTTCACCAGAATGGGGGAGGCTACACTACCGCCGGTATCAGCCATAAAATCACTCCCATATTGAGCCACTTTACCATGATAAGGTGACAATCTTTGAGAGGTATACGATGTCATATTTTTTAGAGAATGATTTAATAAGAGATATTAAATATATACTACTATTTTTATTTAGGAAGGGGTAGATCTTCGTATTGATGTCATATAAGCTGTTGCGTTTTTCTGCGAATCTAAGCATCTATTCTTGAGACGAAATAAAGCGAACATTTTCTAATTTTCTAACAATTTTAAGTGTATTTAGTCCGGAAATATATGTGCTATGAATCCAGATCCTGTGTACTATATTTCCAGTACACACTCACCTTACTATAGATGTGGTCCGAATTGATGATAATAATATTAATATCTAACATGCAAATATTATTTTTGTGTTTTCAAAGTGAAATTCATTAATTTAATATTTTTTTTGTATTTTTAATACTTATTTTTAACCCAAAATAATAATGATTAATTATTTGAGGACTGTATTTTTGTCAAATTTTACAACTTCATTAAGAACCTTTTTTTCAATTTTTAATTAATTTAATTAGCTGCTATTTTATAAGCTCTATTATATATTGTTTATGTTATTATTGAACAATTTTTGTGGTTTTAAGGGTTTAACATTTTTTTTAATTACGAATTCTGTGGAACTCAATGTTGAATCAAAGGATTCCACATCAATGTGTCCTTCTATTTTTTGTAAATATTACTCGTATTATTAAATTTATGGAAAAAATCACTACCCACCATTGCCAATTAATGTTTATTAAATGTTTCTATTCCGGGTATGTTTTCATTTTTTTCGTTTCCTGATGCCAGCATCCATAATGCCATAATGGATACTGGCATGTTGCTATTTTCAATTTGCAATTTATTATTGTAAATGAACCCGACAGCATAACAAATTCCAATATGAAAACCACAAAAAGGGAAAAAATGCTCGATTGTTCCACTCCCGCCGTTGCGATTGCCATGCCCCGTTGACGCACTTTTCAAATAGCAACGTTATTAACGGTTTTCGCTTTCTGTTTTTGCCAGAAGTAAAAAATACTTTTATTTGCTATATTTTCCGTACTTGCCGTATTTGCCGCATTTGCTGTATTTGCTGTATCGGATTTCAGCATTTCATTTCAATGATTGTTATGCTTAAAAGATGAGAATTAATGGAACGAAATTTCAGCTTCACTTCAAACATGAAAAAATTGCACGAAATTCGTAAAAATAAATTGAAATAAATACTTCTTTAAAAGAGATTAATTTAAGAGGAGCTTGTCTTCAAATGAACTGTGACAGTTAATTAAATCAATTGAATGTATTTTTTATTCTATTTTATATTGTTTTTAATTTTTTATTTTTTTTTTATTTTTTATTTTTTTTGTTGTTATAAACAAGCGAAAAATGTTGTTAGGTGTCAAAGGCGAATATAAATTACGAAAACAACTTTAAATATGCAAATTAAGATGAGATTTTCGCCTGCAGTTGTTGTATTTGTTTCGCCTAAAAGTATGCTACAGTTATTTTGTTGATAGATTTAAGACTCCTTAATGAAGCAATTCAATCAATTGGCAACGGCCTCCAACAGCTAAGCATTGGCAGGAGCAACATTGGAATGAACATGATTGAAATTAATTCGATTGAGTGCTTGCAAACAAGGGAAAAATATGAAAAGTAATAGAGATGAGTAATTATTTAAAAGGAATTTGGTAGAAAAAGTTTTACAAAAAATAAAACAAAAAATAAATTTGTTTTAAAAGAATTCTCGTAAAATAAACAAGAAATTTAATTAGTTCCAGTAAGAATAATAAGTCATAGAAAATGTTTTTAAAATTAGATTTTTAATACGTTTTAGTAAAATTTTGGACAACAATAATAGTATGAGCTCGTTTATTGATTGTAGATACTCATTTCAAGATATCCGAAAGAGTTTCTTTGCAGACACACCGTTTTGATAAAAAAAATTAAATGAATTCAGCTATTTTGAGCAACATTTCCACTACGCTATATAGTTTACTTCTTGAGATATTGAGGTTGAAACTTATTAGCATTTTAACATTGATTAAACTAACAAAAAACTAACACGTGTACTAAAATATGCAATTGCTACGTTGACTATTGAAACGGATAAGGCACTTGAGAGTGCATGCTGATATTTTTCACATAAAAATTTTCAACATTAATGTCCGATATGCCAAAAAAACTAGGCTATATCAGCACATAATATTCTACTATAGTCCAATTCTCGCAGTGGAGCATAGGATCTCAATAATTCTTCTAAATCTGACTCTATTTAATGATTCTCTATAGATATGGTTTCTTGTGTATCGTACTTCAGCTAGCTCACTTTTTACCGTTTTTCTTCATATACCTTATTTTGCACAAAAGTTCTCAAATCCTTTGCCCCTAAAAACACACAATACAAAATTGGGTGTAGAGTTTATGTGACGTTATACTTCATATCACTCTAGTTATCATATATTTCACTACTCCACCTTTGTCAACTAACCGAGAACATACACACATCTATAAAAAATCACTTTGAAATCTATTGAAAACCGTTTTTATTAGTAATAAAATCATAAATTTTTAAACTTTATAGTTTGTGTTCTTTGCGCAACTGTCTGAGTAACTTAAAATTTATGTCATATTCAAATTTTTATTTACTTTAGTAAATTTTGACTTAAACCTAATAAATATGATATAAAAAATGCATGAAGGATTTATGAAAAATATATTAACTCAATTCACTTAGCCCGCATTTGGCTTTCGGTTTACAGAATCGCACGACTTCTATAATAGTTCTGCGTCAGCTTCCACTGCATCCAGCTCCTTTGAAACTTGCAGTTTGGTTATTTTCTCGAGAACTTGCATGGTCTGCATATATAATTTTTTCGCCAATTCCATGTCCTTGCCTGGTTCGGAGGATGCTGCTATTTCACAATCACTTTAACAGAAACAAAATAACAAAAAGTGAAAAATGAAATAAAAACAAAAGCAAAAATAAAGTCAAAGTACATTAAAAATATTGTTCTCATAAAAAATAAATTGAAAGAAAGTAGAGAAATGAATAGAGAAAAAAAAAGAAAAAAAAGAAAAGGAAAGAAGAAAGCAGTTGTTCTTACTTAAAATATTCGCCAGTTACATGCTTCAGTTGTGGGTCCGTAGCCAAGCGTATGGCACATTGTGCACCCTCGGTAGGATTTTTCATGAATAGCCACATCCATGGATAAGTCATCAATTTAACACAAATGGCCGACATTAGTGGAGAGCTGTAGCATAATAAAAAGGCAGTCCATAAGTGTGAGTATATAAATTTATATTTATGTATTCAAGATTATCTATAAATTTTAATAATTTAAAGTTCAACGTGATTTAAGCAGAAATTAGGTGCAGATTTTTCGAATGACTTTTGGGGGCCGGAATGAGATCGAAAGTATTTTTTTTATAATGCCTTTTATAATTTACTTTATTTTTTATTTTTTTCACAAATGCCAAAAACTTTAGTAATTAAAATTTTATTTTTTATTTTTAATTTGTTTTTGGTTTTTGATATTAGCCTAATTATAATGAGATAATCTTTTAAGTGCTCTGAAATGGTGGTGGTGGTGGTGGTGTATGCGGAAATTCTCTTTCACAATCCAAATTAAAAATTTGAACGTTGCAGCAGTCAATTTTCACATTCACACAAAATTTTATTGAATTTGAAGACACAAGAAGACAAAAACACAAAAGAAGTTCAGAATCTTTTATGCACGTTGAAGTATATTCAAGCGCATGCAGCAGGATAATTAAATTTTAAAAACAAATTAACATTAAACCTTGGAAATCCTGGCGAAGACACGTCGTTACCAAATGCGGCATGAAGCCCAATTGTTGCTATGCGTACGTGGTGCGAAACCAAAACAATCTTCATTCTTATACACTTTTTGCTTATTGTTTTCTGAAAACATCTTATAATTAAGAAAGTACGAGACTAAGAGGGTACAACACATATTTTACACAATACAAAAATTGTTAATAAAAAAACAGAGGCAGAAGAAATAATTTCACGACAATGGGAGTTCTAATACATCATCGTAACCAAATAACATTTTCAGTACTCAAAACATTAATCATCCGTCGTTCGGTACTGATTTGGTATCTTATGATATCTTCTTATATCGGTACGTTAAAACTAATTTCTTGATTTGATATTGATTTGATGCCTTATGACGTTTTCTTGTTTTGGTAGATTAAAATCAACTCTTTGGAAAATTATATTCGCCAGTGGAAGAATCTCTTCTTGTTTTGGTAGATTAAAATCATCTCTCTGGAAAATAATGTTCACCAGTGGAAGAATCCCCTATTATAATTAAAAATTATTTTTTTGAGGTGTCTCAGGTGGAATGGAAAACATTTTATGATAATTAAAAGAAAATTCAGTTAATAGGGTATCAGTCTTCCCATCTTGATTTGATACCTTATAACGCCTTCTTGTTCTGGTAAATTTAAAACAATTACATCCATTTCCATATTTGTTTGTACATTGTGACCGAAAAGCTTTCGGAAATTCTCATTTAAAATTCGCGCGCTGTATATTTTTCGATATTTTAAGTTATGTAGTTTGAGCACTGTCCTTAATTACTATGCCCAAAATGAGCGCGATCTGTCGGACAGTTCGTTTACGGCAGCTGTTGAAACCAGTTCACCTCAGTAGTGCGTTGCGAAAAAAACAATGGAAAAAAATATTGAACAAAGAGTTTGCATCAAATTTTGTTTTTCGAACGAAATTTCGTGTGCAGAATCGTTGCGAATGCTACAAAAGGCTTATGGGGAATCAGTTTTATCGAAAACTCAAGTTTATGAGTTGTACAAAGCCTTTCAGGACGGTCGTACGACCGTCGAAGACATGCCGCGTTCTGGACGACCTTCGACCTCTACCACCGACGAAAACATTGAAAAGGCAAAGGAAATCGTGTTCCAAAATCCTCATGTGAGTGTTAGAGAGATAGCACGAGAGCTAGGCATCGGTCGTGAGACCACGGCCTCAATTGTGGAAGGATAATTCATGGATTTGTCAACGCCCGGCTTGCTCCGATTCACCGAGCCAACATTATCAACGATTTTAAGGCCAAACATTCAATAAATACCATCGAACAGCCACCGTATTCACCTGATCTTGCACCGTGTGACTTTTTCCTGTTTCCCAACCTCAAATTACCACTCAGAGGAACGCGTTTTGAATCCATAGAAGACGTAAAACAGAATTCGCAGAGGGAACTCAAAGCCATACCGGAAAGCGCCTATAAAAAATGTTTTGATGATTGGAGATACGTTGGCATTTGTGTATCGCTTCTAATGGGATATTTGAAGGAGATAAAATAAATATTGATGAAGATTAAGAATTTTGCGTTTTATTTAAAATTTCCGGAAACCTTTCGGTCACAAGTATAAGAAACTTCTTATATATATAGAAATAACATTTCCAAAGAATTAGTTAATTGAATATAGCAGATGAAACTTAAAGTCAATGTACTAAACAACAAAAGACTTAAAACATTATGCTTAACGTAATATCTACCAACCTCAGTATTATTCTTATTAATATACAGTCAGTAGAGCAATTCGCGACAGATAAACGAAGTTTGAGCCTAGGGGCTGCCATGACCTATTTATTAAATTTTGAATCGTGATCCTAAGAAGATATCGGAATGATATTTTTTTAAGGTATTGTTATTTTTTTGTAAAGGAAATAATGAGAAAAATGAGATGGTTATGCTTGGTGCTCTTGGTGACCAATTAACCAAACACTAAATTGGGTTCTCAAGAGGTCTCACTGTTGCATATCGGGATAATTTTTTTAATTTTGCAGTCTGTAGAATAAATAGTGTTAAAAACAGATGGTTAAGCTTACCGTTCTAGTTGGTTACAAAATACTAAGTCAGTGATCCCTAGATATGGAATTTATGTAGTTAAGTTTAGCAGTCTGAACATGCTACTGATAAAATACTTAATATGTTATCTTAAAGGATCCTTGGATATTGAGACTATTTTTGTAAATATGCAGTTTTTGTACCTAATGACGAATAGAAGATTGAGCTTAGTGCTGTGGATGGCCTATTAACCAAAAACTAAAGCGGTAAACATTAATCAATGGTTGAATTTAGTGCTATAGCCGACGTTTTGATGTAATACTAACAACGGGAGATACTGAAAAGGCTAACCATCGTCTAACATTTCAAATTGTTTTAGTTTTAGACTCATTTAGGCTGCATCTCGTTAAAAAAAGTGTATTCTAAACGATTTAAGAAATACTATAAGCACTATTAAAGAAGTAAAAATTGTATTCTTTTAATAAAAATAAGATAAAAAGAAGATATATATGTTCATGAATAATTTAAAAAGAATTAAATTCTTGTTGAAAATATTTATGTTGATTTATATATAGTCTAATCTGCACATATGTACTCGGGACGTATGAGTGACATTTCAAATATTTCATTATATTCAAAGTAAAATAAAAGTGAAAAATGAGATTATGGTTTCAATTTCTCTTCATAATATCATTGAGATATATTTATTGAAAACAATTTAAATTTTTATGCTCAATAAAACTAAGCTAGAGAGGATATTGCTACCCACAAAGTTATTTAAGGCGAACTATTTAAATCTCGTTATCTGTTAAAATAAATGACTTGAGATAAAAAAGGTAGTAATTTTTATTGCAATTGCAAAATATTTTTTTACAGAATAGTTTTATTAGTTCGATTTATGGATGTAAATTGACTAAATATAAATAACTTTTTGACATAAAAGTTTTTAGGACATAATAATTTTTATACTCGTATCTGAAAATAGTTTAAAATTTATTATGCGATATTGTGGTTGTTTTTCAATATTAAGAACAGCTGTTGCTGCAAATAAAATATATCATTTGAT